CATCTTGGAGAATAATAATTCCAGAAGTGAACCATTGCAATAGGGAAGATAAGAAGCATGGTCATTTGTATTTCAGCTTTCATAGGCAGAAAAGTACTCAAGTCTTTTAGAAGTTTTGATGAAGTTTGGACAGCTGCATTTTGTATTGCAGTTACTGCTGTTCTATTGCTTACTTTTGGTCCTGTAAGTGGATTCCTTTTCCCTAACAATTTAAATGTCCTTCAGATTCTCATGTTAGACTAACAAAGCCATTGAGGGATTTCTGGAACTAATATCCAATACAGTAAGAAGTACACAGTCTAGTTTAAGCCCGTAAATAAATTTGTGTTGAAAATGATGAAATTATGTTGAAATTAATGAATTTAGAAGTATTGCTAAGTTCGACAGACTGATGAAGCAGGACATTCTCATTCATGAATACAAAACAAAGACCAAGAAATGCAAGGAATACATTGCAGTTCAGTGAATTTTTGATTACCAAATAATCCCAAACCCCAAAGACCAGAAAAACACATACATAGGGTTTGTGGTTGGATCATTTCTTTATTATTATTCAGCAAGTGGTTTTGTTTCTCTTCCATTACCTTTTTGTTATAGTTTACTCATATCATACTAATTAACTTCCTATATATATATACTTGGGTTTAGGGCAAGCTGTTTGGTTTTCTTTTGTTTTTAGAAAAGATCACTAATACCAACCATGTTTTGAACAGGTTTTGAACTGATTTCTAAGACTGTATGGTTCAGCTGCTGACCACCTGGGTGTCCTTCCAGCACATTGAGGTCTAACACTTATTCACACTGTTGCAGCACCAGAACTCAGCTGCTCCCACAGATTGAAACTGTGGGAAACCCAGGGCAGAGAGATTAGTTTGCTCTGTAGGACTCCATCTCAATGGAGTGACATTAAATTGAAACCAATAAGCTGTGATAGACACAGGTCAGCTTCTAGCTGAGTAATGGAGTGCAAAAGACACCATGCACATATTCTCCCATAACAGCTTCCCAACCCTTCAGTCCTACCTCACAGGGCTCTTGATTCCTCCAAATACTGAGTATGTAGAAGACTGTCAACCATGGCTAAATGAGAACAACCCGAAGCTTTGCCACAGGCCTTCTTTACTGATGTAAAACTTTGCTTTGATACCGTCACAAAGACATGACACATAATAAATACAGAAAAACCTAATAGAAGACATGACCAACAAAAAAAACCCATGGACTAACTGGAAATAAGTGCTCCTTTCTGATCTAGAACAGATGACCCAGAAGGAAAGGCTGTAAGAATAGCCAAAGGATTTAAAACCATAGCAAAAATCAGGGTTTGAAGAAGAGATTTCTTAGAGCAAATTATCTGGGGAGGCTGTGGCTTTGCCATCACTGGAGGTTTATTGAAAGAATTCATACAAGATTCAAAGAATTTGTGAAGATTAGTAAAGGGCGGTCTGTTGTTGATGTCACCTGGCATGCTGGAAACTTTATTCCTTTACACCTAATCCAATATCTTCCCTCCCTTAGAGAGCAGGATTCTCTGAAAGAATCTCTCGCTTGAATAATTTTGCACTCTTCCACATCTGCACATTGTATTGGCAAATAAGCCATTTCCAAAGGTAGATAATGAGTGTGGTTTTACTTCAGAAGCTGCACCCTGGCTCTACTGCTGAGCTATCTTCTGTCTGATTGATGAGGCACTCCTTCAAAGAGAAGTTATTTGGCTTTTTTTATCCTCAGATTATTGAAGTTCTTCAAGACTAACTCATGAAAGGGTTAACCGGTGAAAAGGATCTCTCTCACATGAGTTTTACCCACAGGAGGAAGGGCTACATTCTAAAATTCAGATGTTGATCATTGGAATGGAGAAGGTTCAAGACTTGTAGGCTCATTATGAAGAAATCTCAGCTCTTAGTGGCAATTCATTAAGTCATTTATTCCTTTGTTGCTCATCTAGGTCACCAGATAATGGCACTGAATCATAAAGAATCAATCATGATTCACACTGCTCAAGGAAAACAACATCTGACTTTTTTCTTTTTTTAAACTGGACAGCACAAACTACTTAAAGTATTCAGAAGAAAACAGTCAGAGATATTCTGTATGCACAGATAATGATTACAAATCAGTGTCTTCTCAGGGCATGAGCATATGCTGTGAGCATGCCTAATGACCATCTGGAACAACTGTTTGTCAGCAGGCACAGCTCCACCAGCTGTAATGGGGTCATACTTCGTTGACCAAGAGCTGATTTTGGCCTACACGTTTTAATGGCTTCTTGAGGAGATGCTGCGTTTGTCAGGCTAGACTTTAAAATTCCAAAAGTCTCTCCTTGGAGAAGTTATTGGGTTATTCCTAACACCTCTCATTTCTCTTTGCTTTCACTTAAAAGTAGACGGTCTGTGCACCCGCTGAGACAGTGAGATCCGTGCTGTGACCTGGGCATATCCACACAAGAACGGAAGTACAGAATTTCTACATTTATAGCAGTCAGCTATAAACTTATAAGACCCTTCATATTTTTGATTGCCTTTCTCTGAAACTGATATTATAAAACGGGAAAAAAATTACTTTGATGTCTGCCTGTGAGACCTGATATATTTTCATGCCTTCAAACACTGCAGCAATATCAGCCATGACCATGTGATAGTAGAGGCAAGTTACTTATTGGTGTGCAGAACAGACAGTTACAATTCCCTGAGTAAAGACAACAGTTCACATAAAAGCAACTGAGATTTATTAGGCTAAAAAACTATTTCTTCAACTACCAGAAGAGAGGAAAAACGTAGATTCTTCCTGTTAGTCAGATTTTTATTAGAATTGCATTTTTAACCCTGCACAGTCAAAAATCCAAGACTTTTACTCCACGGAATAAAGTTATTGCTAAAGTTAGGGGATCTTTTCTGCAGAGAAGAAGGTTCCAGGTTCGGCCAACGATACAGCTGAAAGGAAGGGGGCGGGTATGGACACTACAAAACAAGCACTGTGACAAAATTTCTGCACTTGCTTAAGTGAGATCACCTCTAGCACTTGCATATAATCAAGAAAGTGCCTACAAGGCACCCCAAGTCCCTTGCACAGGACTTGGCATGCTCAGCTGCCTCTCATACTGCTGCATGACGTAGGGGAACAAGCACACTGAGTTTCCAAAGCTGTATTCACTTTGGGGGAACTGTGCCTAAGTCTTTGGGACACAAAACCTGACTCAAATGCTAGCTTCCAACAAACTCCATAGCAAAAGTTACCTTTTAATTACTTGGCTTGTGAAACTATAGGCAAAAAATGGAGCAAAACTCCATGATAAGCCTGCAGCATATCCTTATGTCATTCTTACAGGAGCACACAGGTGTGTGAACACCTTTTTTTATCAGTTTTTATGTAAAGGAAGTCAAGAATCACAGAGCAGACTGTGTGTACAATGAAGTATCATTTACTATATAATGTAGTTGGTAGTATGAAATAAAATAAGACAGAACACTGCAAAAAAGCAGAACCATAATAAAGTAAAGCTACTTTTCTTTGCTTGTTTTTTGTTATCAATTTGCTTAATAATTTATTTGCTTGGATTTCCATATTTGTGATATTCTGCTAATCTAGGTAATTATGCATCAGAATATGGGACAATCAGAAACAGATATATTTATCTCTCAACATGGTGTTAGCTTACAGATATTAAACAGTTTTGCCAATTTGCCAAAAGATGCATATATTACATTATTAGGAATTTATTACTAATTAATGATGTTTCTGATCAGTAATGCAAGAAAGAAAAGAAAAAAAAGTTGTTTACATTTTCTACATTCCAAATTGTAGAGATGTAAAATTTTATCAAATATACTTTAGCAAATGTCAATAGAATTCTTTCATTGAAAAGGCAAAAAAAAATGAAACTGGAATGAGATATATTTTACACCATGTACTTTTTGAAAAAAGTGATAATCAGGAACTCTCAATTACCCTCTAAAAAAGATTGCCTCCCCAGGGTTATATTTTTTCCTTTATCACTATCACAACATGAAGGAATGAAAGTGTCAGGCAGAGGCATAGAGACTCTTATGCATGTGTCCTGCCTCAGTTTGATACCCATGCCCCATGAAAAATGTCTTTTTTGTGGCAAGATCATAGAATCATAGATTAGTTTGGGTTGGAAGGGAACTTTAAAGGCTATCTAGTCCAACCCCCCTCAGTGAGCATCATTTGACCATCACTGACATCAACTCGATCTGGTTGCTCAGAGCCTGATGTACAGCATCACGCTGCCCACGCCCCGCAGTGGGATAAGCCCGCAGCCATCCAGACAGTGAATACTGAGCTCTCAGACCCAGCACGACCAACAGATGCCACCTACAGCTGAGATTTTTCTCCCCGTTGCTGCACAGCGATACCTCGAGACGGGATGTGACTTCAGGTAGTTGCACAAATCTGTTTTCTGGGCTCCAGCACTTTTAAAACGCCCTCTCAGCGGTTCGCATTACCTGTCGCTTGCTGCCTAGATCGAGACGGTCACTCATTCCACTCTCAGGATCAAGCAAAGGAGCGTCATCGGCATCCCTCTCCTGCAAGGACCCGGACCCGCACCCCCCCGCTCCGGGAGTCGCACCACCGTAGCCGGGCTGGCAGAGGTCAGTGCATCTTTTCTCCCCCTCCAAAGCGCTCTGTCCCGTCGGGAAGGGGGGTGTATTTTGCTTTTGGGGGAGCATACCAAAGACAGTAGCTCCCGCGAGGGCAGGAACCCCGCGGTCTGCAGTCCCCTGGTCCAGAGGCACTACCCAAGGACGGTGGGGACAGCGACCAAGTGGACTGCTGGGTTCCCAGGTGAGCGCTGTCACCTTGGGCTGGTTGTCACTCTGGGGTAGTCTGAGACTGAGCACTGACCCTGCACGGCACTTGCCTGTGTGGGAGGAGGGAAGGAGCAGCAGGTAGGACACTTCGCCCTCGGTAATCTCCCTTTACTTCCATCAGATTCACAGTGGACAGCATATGTGATTTTGTGGTTGGATGTGCCAGAGGAGACAGCCTTGAGAAAGCAGGGACCTCGCCTTTTTTCCTTCCCCTTCCAAGTCATCCTCATCACCAGTGAACCTGGCCACTCTCTTCTGTAGTCATGGAGAACTACTCCTTCCCTGAGACCAATTCCTCATGTACAGACTGCACTGTGAGAGGGCATGGGGGTCTGAATATGTCCACTCCTCCACTTAGCCCCAGGTTCTACGTCACAGTGCCTGTCATCTACTCAGTTATCTGTGTCGTGGGGCTGACAGGCAACACTGCTGTCATCTATGTAATCCTCAAAGCGCCAAAGATGAAAACCGTAACCAACATCTTCATCCTCAACCTGGCCATTGCTGATGAGCTCTTTATCCTGGTGCTACCCATCAACATTGCTGACTACCTGCTCCTGCAGTGGCCCTTTGGAGAGTTCATGTGCAAGCTCATCATCTCTATAGACCAATACAACACTTTCTCCAGCATCTATTTCCTCACTGTCATGAGCATTGACCGCTACCTTGTTGTGGTGGCCACCACCAAGTCCAGGAAGACGTCCTACCGCACCTACCGAGCAGCCAAGATCGTGAGCCTTTGTGTCTGGTCTTTTGTCACAGTCATCATCCTGCCCTTCACTGTCTTTGCTAAGATACACAAGGAGCAGGGGCGTTCCCAGTGTGTCTTTGTGTTCCCCCATCCTGAGAGTGTGTGGTGGAAAGGCAGTCGGATCTACACCCTTATTTTAGGTTTCGTCATCCCAGTGTCCACCATCTGCACCCTCTACACCACTATGTTGTTCAGACTGAGACATATGCAACTCAATTGCAATGCGAAAGCTCTGGACAAAGCCAAAAAAAAGGTGACACTAATGGTAGTTGTCATCTTGGCTGTGTGCCTGTTTTGTTGGACACCCTATCACCTCAGCACAGTGGTGGCCCTCATCACAGACATCCCACAAACTCCACTCATCATTGGGATTTCCTACTTCATCACCAGCCTAAGTTATGCCAATAGCTGCTTCAACCCTTTCCTGTATGCCTTTCTGGATGACAGTTTCCGGAGGAGCTTTTGCAAACTGATAGATCGCAGAACCACCTCATAAAGCCAACCCTCTGTCCCATCATTTGTACCTCTCACAGTCACCTGCTTTTCCTGGGTGATTCCAGCCCAGAGAATGCTTTCTCTGCAGAGTCCTTGTGATTGCCTACAGGTCTTCAGGTTACCTCACTACCCAAGACATGCACTGGGAACAAGTGTATCTTTCTCAACTGTCCTGCACTCATTTCTGTAGCATTGCTTTCCTTGCTTTTTCTTATTTTCCTTTTTCTTTTTCTTTTTCTTTTTCTTTTTCTTTTTCTTTTCCTTTTCTTTTTCTTTTCTTTTTCTTTTTCTTTTTCTTTTTCCTTTTCTTTTTCTTTTTCTTTTTCTTTTTCTTTTTCTTTTTCTTTTTCTTTTTCTTTTTCTTTTTCTTTTTCTTTTTCTTTTTCTTTTTCTTTTTCTTTTTCTTTTTCTTTTTCTTTTCCTTTTTCTTTTTCTTTTTCTTTTTCTTTTTCTTTTTCTTTTTCTTTTTCTTTTTCTTTTTCTTTTTTTCTTTTTCTTTTTCTTTTTCTTTTTCTTTTTCTTTTTCTTTTCTTTTTCTTTTTCTTTTTCTTTTTCTTTTTCTTTTTCTTTTTCTTTTTCTTTTTCTTTTTCTTTTTCTTTTTCTTTTTCTCTTTTTATTTTTAATTTTATTTTTATTTTCCATTCCTTCTCTCTAATGTGCTTTCTGACCTAGGTTTGCAGCACACAGAGCTGCAGCAGGTCCCTTTTCCCTTTATAAAAGTATTGCTTTGTGAACTCAAGGCACATGACTATCTCAGTTACTGGTAATTTGTAAAGCCCAATAAAGGTGTGTTACTGAGTGTCTTGCTTAATAATTCCTCAGCCTCTTTCTTACCCATAGGACCTACTTACCCAAAGTCTTGCAAACTTACAATGATTGAAAAAGGCACAACTCCAAAGGATAAGGAACAAAGCAAGATATTGAGCTCATTTAATTTTACAGGGGACAGAGATAAGGTAGTCAAAATCCATGAAAACAGATAAGAGACCTCAGTCTGGTTTTAAGGAAGAAAAAGCACACCCTGACTAGTGAATAAAACACACAGATGTGGGTTTGGAGCCACTTGCTGTGGAAAATAACAGTGTGCTTGGTGGTTGTAGTTTGTAAAACCTGCAGCTTTTGTTTGTATCAGAAGTGATGATTACTTTATTATTTACCATGTGTTCATGGTCCATCTTGTTGCACATACAGTTGGTTTTCAGAACAAGTTAACTTTTAAGGATTTGAAAAATTCATAAATAACATATGTAGTGGTTAGGTTACTTTTAAACTATCTCTCACACACTTGTATTCTGGTTTGGGGTTTTTTTTGTAAGATTTATTAATATTTCTCTCAAGGAGAGGAATTGAAATGAAAAAAAAAATTAAAAAGAAAACACTGAAAAGATTATGTTAATTTTATCTGAAGGAGGATGGAAAGGGTGAATGAAAGTTTCACTAGAATTCATATATTCAACACTGCATGAGGAGGTTTATTCCTCCTATCTCCTCTTTTAGCCCTCTAAGGAAAACTAAAAAAATGTGGAAGACCAAGAAAATATTTGCAGTCACTTAACATTTCTCATCTAAGTGGTCTTCCCTGCTCTTCCCTGCGGCAGATGCTAAATCAGTGTAACCCAAATTTTGTTAGATATTTTCCCCTCCCCTGGATACAGAGAGATAAGGAAGTGTGGCTAAGAAATTGCATTTCCACAGGAGGGGATGATAAGGATTCATGTGATACATCCTCAGGTTTGCAGGTGCCTCCTGAAAGCCCTTGCACCTCCCACTGATGCAGTCTAAAGTTCTGCCATAGTCACGTGGAAAGTTTCTTCTGCTAAATCCTTCTGAAGAAGCTCCAAATGAAAATTTTACTTGCAGATTTTAGCAATTATGCAAATCCTGGTACATTATATTACCATATAACTGGTCGATGACTAAATCATTTCTCCTTATAAGACATTAATATTCTCTGAGACTGTTAGTGTTAAATTCAACATCCAGTCTAGCTGTTATGGAAATGGAAGGTTTCCAACAGTGTCTAGTTCTGCTTCATTGGAGGGTGTTTGATTGACTTCCATCAGACATAGAAGCTGGCCTTTGAAAGAGCAAGACCAAAATGTGTTGATTACTCATTTCCACACCACGTGTGAAAATATGCTTCAAGAACCAGAGTCCAACACTTCATCTTTCCGACTGAAACAGAAGGTAATTAACTTTTCCCACCAGCTGTCTTGTGGTCACTTGCCATGGAGAAAGATGTTAGTCCGTATGGGCCAAATAGCAAAGCCTCTCCTTGTTTAGGCTGCTGGTACACACAGCCATGTCTCTTGTATTCTTCAGTCATCACTTTCATAACAACATTACTTGTGTAAAGACTGCATACAGTTTAAAAAATAAACAGTATTATTCTCAGAAAAAGGTTGTTGTTCCCTCATTGGTTGTGATCCTTTCCTGAAGACTGAAGAATTCCTGTGCTCAATTCCTCTTGTCCATAGGGGAAAATATGAGAAGTATTATCCATTAACAAATTTCACTTCAAAGTATCTTGGATTGCCTGTCTTTTTTGTATCAGAAACATAAAAATGCAAACAGAATATCACCTGTGGTAAACACAATCCTTCCCTAAATTCCTTCCCATTATGGAACCATCTTACCTGTTCCTCCTGGTAGGATGAACACCCAAGAAGAATTCTGTGTGTCTCAAATATCTGGAGTTTTCCCAGAGTTGTTAGTCACAGAACAGGCTGAGATTTGAGCAACAGCCCACCTCTGACATGTGTGCTCACCTGAATTTCATACACTGAGCAGGACTCCCCTTGCACAGCTGTGCTCTCTGTGGTGTCCATGACATGACTGGGAGGTGGAACTGGAGCCTATCCTATTGCAGGCATTGCAGATTGGTATCCACTTGAAGGCAGAAGCTGAGCCTGGAGAACCTGGGGAGGGTACTGTATGGTAAGTAAGGCCCCCTCTCATCCTGAAGAGCTTCAGCATTAAAACAGGTGATACCCAGTTCTCCTTCTATCATATGTCCTTTTGGTTCGGGAAACAGAATGTTCTCAGCCTAAATGTGACCAAATCCAGCAATTCAGCAGGAAAGAGAGAGGTTTGATTTTCAACACTGCTGGTCAGCAACGATGACCTGATGCTGTATAGAAGCTAAACTTTGTCTCCTGGAGCAGTAATAGAGGATAACATAACAAGGAATTTGCTCCCCTTAAATATTTCTGATTTCTTTTTTTTTTTTTTTCCAGAGCAGTAATTTATGCTCCTGCTCAGATCACGCCTCACCAGATATAATGAAATTTAAGAGTGTCACATTGTTAGACAGTATAGTTGTTGTAAGGAAGTATTTTATTTATACGAAAAAGAGTAAAATAAAAATAAATCCATTTTCCACGGAGCATAAATCTAACTTGCAACTGATCTTGCAGATATTTGATACAGACTTCCTTCCATAAGGAAAGCAGCGAAAACAGAAATCAGATTTTATCATTAAATACAATAGAATTTTTTTTTTTAAAAAGTGAACTTTTTTCATGGTATTGAAGTGGGAATGAGAGAATTTGCTGTCAGGCTATTGCTATCATGCCTGATGGAAGTTGCTTTCAGTGCACTTTAACCTAACAGCAACTACTTTGTAGGTTCTCTGGTAGATGAGACAGGCCAGGAATGAAAGACTAGGCCTTCTCAGGGTTGAGACATCCTGACCACAAGTAACCGACCCTTGCGCTGAGGCTCACAGCCATGCACACAGCTGCCCAAGCTATTTTCCCCACAGGCCACATCACATCTGCAGTTTGCAGATTTGGTTTGCCTCCAGGTTCTGCAAAGCAGATCATCCTGTTCCAGTCCATTTTGCCTGTGCAGCGAGGGCACAGCTGCAGGTACCCGTGCATAAGTAGAGCCAGTCCCCCAGGGGCATCCTCTGTCTATTCATTCTCACCCTCTGTACCACCCTGACTGATTTGAATCCAGCATTTCAAACTGTTGACCACTGCCTGAAAGCATATAGGAAATTGTGTGTGTGTGTGTGTGACTTTTGGGGGGAACAAGATGGAAGGGGTAGACAGGGCTGTATTCTCAGGGCTGTGGTTAGTTAGAGTACCAGGAGCATACACCTGTATAATGCCAGATGCCTTGCTCAGCAAAAAGCAGGTATGGGTAAAGTTCTGGGAGCCAGAAGGATCTGAGCCTCTGATGCAGAAGAAGCACAAAGGCAACAGGTGTTTGCTGGTGTGATTGCAGTAAAGTCTCATAAGTCAAGGCAGGAGAGAACAGTTTAACCTTTTCTGTTTAAGTGAGTATTCAGCTTCCCACATGCCAAAATAATGTGATTAAACAAAACCAGGCCTCCAGCTTTTTGTAGACTGTCAGCACCAAATGTCCTCAATACCTTGGCGTCTAAAAGACGTGCACTCCTTTTCGTGAGCATGTCCCTATAGTCTATATGTAGCAACCTATGGAGACCCAGAGAGCAACTGTGTGTGACAACCAAGCACACCTTCAGCTAGGAACCCTGAGTGCACGTGTCCCTCAGTGGCTAAAACACATTCTCGGAGCTCTGATTAAAGATATCTGGAAAACTAGATATTCCTTCAGGACCACGAGTTCTCTGTAGATTGTGTTTAAAAATCACCCTTCATACTTTCCCAGCAACAGCACTGTTACCTGGCTATTCCTGAGCTGGCTACCCCAAACCCATAGCTGATGCTGACCACCATCGATCTCCGTGCTTTTTTGGACTCCTTTGGTGGAGTGCATTAACACCAGAGGATTTAGGCAAGTTTCTGACTCAGCTCAGGCAAGCTGGCGTACTGGAAGGGATACATCATGCCACATGATGTTTCGTGTTCCAGATATGTTGGCCAAAGCAGCCTTCAAAACATACATCTCCTCTATCATCCCTACGTCACTTACTCGTTAAGTTTTGCACCTCTATCAGTTGTATTTTAGAGACTTTCAAGCATCTCTCCAAGTAGTTTTTCCACAGCATAAAGTTGCTCTGAAGTCAGGAGCAGCACACCAGCAGGAAGCAGGCAGGTTTAAGGAGGAATACACAGTGCCAAAGGAGAATGGATCAAAGG